TTTATTTTTAAATATGTATATTTTATTATTATTTATTTTTATTTTTTAAACTTATTTAAGTTTTGTACTTCTGCTTTACACAAAAATGAGAAATGCCAACTTACTGAAATATTTACTGAAATTATAGAGGTAGATAAAACAAGAAAAAGACAGAAAAAAGTATGATCTTATCGTTTGTTTTGTCCAAAAACGTTTTTTTTTTTTTTCTTTTTTAAATTTGAGGAATATTGCTGTGATTCACTTTAGGGATCAAGTTTCATTGGTTTGCATCAGCTTTATGAATTTTTATTTCAGCTTTATGATTCAGAAACTCAACAAGGCTTGAAAATTTGTCAAGCCTTTGCATAAATATTAGATAATAAATTAAATAATTATTTTTAATATCGAAAATAATTAGAATAATTATATTTATTAATAATAAAAATATTTTAACATGACTGTATTCCATTACAATGCTTTCAGCCATCTTAATAAAATTACCGCTGTGTTATTTTAGTATCATTAATACAGTATTTATATATTTTTTTATTTTAATTTTAGTTTAAGTTTTAGTAATTTTGTTGGTTTGTGTTTTTATTTTTAAATGTCAGTTTCATTTTAATAGTTATTTTCAGCTTTAGTCATTTTAGTACTTCAACTTTTAAAAAAATGAGAAATGTTGGCTTGGCGAAATGTTGGTAAATATTTACTCGACGTATTACAAAGTTTTTTATTTGGTGTCAATTAATGTTTTTTTTAGTAGTTTTAGTTACAGTAACACTGTGACTGAGCATTACATACAGCATCATAGACCCATTAAAGAAAGCGCTAACTCCTGTCTTTCCTGTGTTCACAGGTGAACGTGGCGACTCAGTGCGACCCAGAGGAAGTGATCGTTCTGTCTGATTCAGATTGAGTCACAGGGTATTGAGCTGGCATCTCAGTCAGCGTCCTGCTCCGTTAGTGCCTGCCAGTGTGAACAGAGAACAAAAAACCTTTATTTTACTTTGGTTCAGTCAGGTTTTGAACCACTTGTACGCAATGCCACGGTTTACTTTTTATACAAGGGGAAATGGCATGCCGTTATTCATTCAGGCTTTTTAGAGGTATTTTGGTATATTGTAAATGGGACTTGCCTCTAAACATTCTTACTCTGAGGGTTTATCTTGTATTGTATTTATGGTTTTAGTTTGAGGGTTTGGAAGCAATCCTCATCTGTGCCAAGAGTCATGAGGGGAAGTGAACTTTCTCTTCTCAACTCAATAAATGCTCCCATTTTGTGTAATGTTTGACTTACATGTTGATAACTTTGTATAGTGCACTGTGGATTTTTTCAGCAGAATTAATGTTCCACGTAAGTTATGAGCTACTTTACATGCTCCAGTTTACAAACATCGGAAGCTTTGTTTTCAGATTACATCTTAACGAAATAGTTCACCCCAAAATAAAAATTCTGACATTCATTTCACCTCCTTTTTTGTGTGTGCAATACAGAAAAAATATCAGGATATGGATTTAAAAGGACTTGAGAGTAAATATTGACAGAATTTTTATTTTTGGGTGAACTGTCCCTTTAACTGGCCTCAGGTGACGAAGCACAAGAGTTAAGTGTCCTCCTGCACTTGCCGTTTAGTATTGAAATGATTTCTGTAAACTGCTGATGATTGATCTATTAAATTGATCAGTATTGTCATATTAAAAATTGTTTTTAATTACTCTGCTTAACTAATTGAGGATTTAATTGGCATGACAAAAGGCGCATCAAAAGAATGGTAACCATATTAAATCTGTTGTAAAAAAATTATACTTACATTTATATTAATAACCAGGACAATATGGCGGATAAATAATACCTTTTTATATATATATACACACACCTTGCTACGTGTACTGCGTTAGGCTAACCGAGACTTGTCATTTGCACTTATATATTGTTGCTCTTTTGTTAGTTTTGACTGCTTTTATTGTCCTCATTTGTAAGTCGCTTTGAAGTTTGGAACAGTGTGAGAGTTGGGAAATTATGGCAGAATTTTCTTTTTTGAGTGAATTATCACTTGAAAACAATCGGGGTAAACCGAAATATCCAAAAAAGGAAAAAAAAAATTAAACTGAGTGACTTTCAAACAGTAATAAGACAAGAATGAATCATAATTTGTGCACAACATACTTTATTTCTCTTTCATTTGAAGATCTTGAATCTTGTGAAACCACTGACATATAATTCTGTCCACATCAGGAAAATGCTTAGTCTGCTACCGTCCGTCGCATATTTAGTTCAGATTCACCACAACAGTTGTAGACGGAACAAATATATTTTTTATTTATCAATACAAAATACAGATCTCTAACCAGATTACTCATCAAGCGAGCACTGAATCATGCTTTTACCTACTGGTGTTTTTTTTTTTAGTAGATTTCAAATGTTCTCTACTTCATTGTTCACACTTTAACTTTGCTCACTAATCTGAAATACACACAGGTCTGATATAAAAGTAATAAGAATGTGTGGATAAGCAACAGATATGTGATTCCTTCCAGCTCACAATCTTCAGATCCCGGTTTATTTATTGTAATATATTGAACAGTTGCGCAAATGTTTGAGGTATATGGTTTCTGTGGTGCATCTGTGGTACAAGGCAACTACTGATCACTGCATTAACGTATCCAAACATCCACTCAATTAAAACACAAGTCTTGATCGGTCCCAATCAGGATTAAATCATCTTCCTATGTCTTAAACGTTCTTGGCAGTTGCAGACGTTCACACTAATTTGGCACGTCATTCGCATACTTCATTCAAGCTTTTCATCCATTCGCAAATCAGGTCTCGGCCTTCATGGAAGGCAAACATGTAAACTATCACTACTGGTTCACTATAGGCTACATCTAAAATACTGCAGGAGTTCAGTAGTTGGATGCCAGGTGCTTATGACTTTGTATTGAGGAGGTTGTGTCCCCCTCAATGTTTACGGTGGTTTTAAGGGTGCAAGGACATACTGTAAAGCCAAAATGCACTGCGAGTTGATTCATTTAGTGATCCAACTACCTACAAACCCTGCCCTTCAAGCAGTAAAGGCCCGTTCACACCAAGAATGATAACTATATTAGCATCCACACCAAAGCACAATAATGTTATGTTTATTACAAGCATGCTCTGTGGTTTTGTGCTTGAGCTCTTTAAAGTGGAATAGATTCTTATTGGCTGTCAATGTTTTTTAATAATTTATCTGGTGAAAAAAAAGCAGCCTCTATGCCTTCACTGATGTCGTTATTCTCACAGAATTTGAATGATTATTTAAGTTTTAAGGCGCGTTCACACCAAGAACTATGAAAAGTTCTCCCACTTTATATTTTAAGTGGGATTCTGGTGCTTTTATCATTCTGGGGTGCGTTTCCCAAAAGCAACTATGGTCGAAGGTTCCGTCGTTACCAATAGATTTCAATGGAACGAACCACCATAGTTAGCTAACGATGCTTTTGGGAAACGCGCCCCTGATTGGCTGTCAATGTTTTTATCGTTCATCAGCTGAAAAAGTCCTGACAGTGATTTGAATCATATTGTTCAAGTCACTATCATAGTTGTGATGTGGACTTTGCCATTCACTTAGAATGATTATTTAGTACGGTTACGTTATTTGTGTGAATGGGCCTTTATTGTTAGTAACGTTATTTGTGTGATCAGACCTTTATAGTTATCTTTAAAACATATGTCCTTTTTGTGAACAAGCCTTCATAGTTCTCATTATAGTTATCGTTCTTTGTGTAAACAAACCTTTATTGTTATCGTTACAGTTATTGTTCTTTGTGTGAACGGACCAATATAGTAACTTTATAGCTATCTTCAATTTCTTATGAATGAGCCTTTACGGTTAATTATCGTCCATTTTTTGTGAACACACCTTTATAGTTATTCTAATAGTTATCGTTTTTTGATAGTTATTGTTATTATATAGTTATAGTTATTATCCTTTGTGTGAACATACCTTTATAGTTATCGGCTTTTTTTGTTAATGAGTCTTCATAGTTATTGTAATAGTTATCGTTATTTATGTGAATGTAACTTTATAGTTAACGTTATAGTTATCCTTTTTGCGATGACCCTTTATAGATGTCATCCATTTTGCGAACGAGCCTTTATTGTTATCATTATAGTTTTTGGTGTGAACAGACCTTTATAGTTATTGTCATAAATATCTTTTTTTGCGAACAAACCTTTATCTTTTTCGTCATCGTCCTTTTTTACACACAAGCTTTGATAGTTATTGTTAATATAGTTATAGTTATTATCCTTTGTGTGAACATACCTTTATAGTTATCGACTTTTTTTTGTGAATGAGTCTTCATAGTTATTGTAATAGTTATCGTTATTTATGTGAATGTAACTTTATAGTTAACGTTATTTGTGCACATAGGGCCAGATTTACTATCAGCTAGCGCCAGCGCAAACCCTCATTTGGCGTTAAAAAACTACTGTCAGGATTTACTAAAGACACGCAGTGGGAAATTAGCGCTGAAAAAGCGTGGACAGAGTTATTTTTGCGACTCAGCTAATTTATGCATTTGTAGGCGTTTCCCTTTCGATCAGTAAATTTATGGGATTAGAGTATTTAAATGAATCACACAACTCGATTTACTAAGATTCGCGATTGTCAATTCACTGGTATTTGTGGCATTATTTAATGCCCCCAAAAAAATACTATAAAGCAGGATGTAATTTGCGTTGCTCTTGGTAGATTGCGCTTGTCATTATGGAAAAACGATGTTGCGTCTAATAATTAATAATTTAATAATTATAATAATAATTTATGCATTTAGCAGACGCTTTTATCCAAAGCGACTTCCAGTGCATTCAGGCTATAAATTTTTTACCAGTATGCGTGTTCCCTGGGAATTGAACCCACAACCTTTTGCGCTGCTAACGCAATGCTCTACCACTGAGCCACAAGAACATCTATGTATTATCAGGAGCGTCTGTGTTCTTTAATGTGCACCTTGTCAGTAAATCACCCGCAGATTTTTCCCCTCCCATCGGTGCTTTTATGGAATTGCGCTTTAACGCTAATTTGCCCTGTTTAGTAAATCTGGCCCATAGTCCCTTGAAACCAAAGACAAGTGTTCTGGTTTTATGGGATGGTGGTTTCTGAGGGAAACCTCTTATGTGACGCTGCTTTCATCAACGTTACCCTCACAGACTTCTTCCACACACCCGCTACGATTGCCACCAATGCCCAAAATGCTAGATCCAAGGCCATGCGGCCCACTTTGAGAACTGATTCCAAGAAGAGGCCCAGAAGCGGCCATGTTGAGACAAGAAACGCTGTTGCTGCTCATGGAATGTTGAGACAAAACGGGGATCCCGCTTCTGGTACCAACGTTACCTTGATTGGTCTCGTTGGCTGACGCGAGCTTCATGTGATGCGGTGGAGAAATGACCGACCTTTCGGATCCGGCTCTTCCTTCGGCTCTGCTGCGCCTCTCGCAATGCGAGCGATGCCTCATGAAGCTGTCGCGCCACATGAACTTCTTCCCGCAGTCGTGGCAGTCGTAGGGTTTCAGACCGGTGTGGGTCTTCATGTGCTCGGTGAGGTGATGCTTCATCTTGAACTTCTTGGCGCAGACGGGGCAGTGGAAGGGCCGCAGGTCCAGGTGCATGTTGATGTGCCGGTCCCTCATGCTCTTGTGCGTGAACGTCTTCCCGCAGTGACACATGAAGACCTTGCCTGAATTTCCAGCCGCGCCGCCGTCTAATCCTTCCATCCCGCTCCCCAAAGCTCCTTGGCTGGGTAAGTGGACCGCTCCGTGTTCGAGGCTACCTTTTAGAGACACCCCTGACATGCCTCCTGCAAGCCCTAATGGAGATGTAGACTCCAGAGCGGCTTGATTGTACAGGAGAATCTGGTTTCCCTGCATATCCAGAGGGAAGAGCTGAGCTCTGGTGGCCGTCGACTGAACCGAACCGAGCCGGGTGGACACGGTCCTGCTGGAGCACTGACCGGGATTCTCAGCAGGGTGTTGAGAGGACGTCTGGTCGATCAAACCCCTCTCAAACTTGAGGTAGTCTTCCGAGGACTGGCAATAGTCAGCCTAGAGGAAAAAAGACATTCAAGTAATTGAGGATGGTAAGTTGTTGTTGGTGCACCTCACAAGTATGAATGTTTTTTTTAATGTTGTAATTTATTTTTGTCCACTTCGTCATATTATCTTTGCATCTCTTATTCTAATCCAGTTTTATCTATGGGTATAGTACCGTCTCAATCACTGATTTGCTGAAATGATCTGTCAGTTGTCTATTATTTAATTAAAAAATTTTTTGTACATTTTTGACTATTTGATATACAAAAATATTTAGACACTTATGCCGCAATTAAAAAGGCATTTAAAAATGACAAATAATCCATGTGATTGGATTATATATCAAAATATCAAAACAATAAGTGGCACTTATTAAAAAAAAAAAAAATAATAATAATAATATATATATGTGTGGTACACACTTTTAATCAGAACACTTCAAAAATAAGGTTTTGAATTGATATGTTTTCGAAATATTTGGTTTCAAAATATGAAGCAGTATATATTTAAAATTATGACAAAAAAGTCCTGGGGACTTTCTGGTTGTCAAACTACACTGGTGGTTATTCTGCTTGGACACATGTGAGAACATATGATGAACTGACTTCATGCATTCATTAAAAATTACCTTGAGACCAATTGGTTAAAAATGAATGTAAAAAGTGGCTTACAAAAATGAAGTTAGTTCTGAGAAAAGCTCTACAATCTTTTGTTTGCAGATGCTACTTGGTCTGATATTTTTTATCTAATGCAATGACATTTTTTGACATTTTTATTGTGTGACAACAAGCATCCAAAATTGTTTTATAGCTGGGCGAAAGCCAAAAAAAACCTCAATATATTTCTTTATATATATTCAAATTAGGGTGATTTTTCTGTTAGGAAACCCAAGACAAGGATTTCATTCACTCAAAAAAATCCTATTCTTAAGTAACTTTTCAGTTAAAATATCTAATAATCATTGACACACAAAAAATATATACTTAAGAAGCCACACTGCATAAGATATTAAGACTTTTTTTTAGAGTATTAGAGTATATTCAATGCGAGTGTATTTGGCCTTATTGCACTGGCAGACTTTTTCACTTGTTTTAAGTCTAAACGAGGTCAAAACAAGTGAAGAAATCTACCAGTGCAGTTATATTTTAACTAGTCATTTTTGCAACTTAATTGGACAAATAAAAAGCATATTAAAATAATTGACATTTAAAATAATTCTTTATTTTATATCACAGACAAAATGGTATCCAATATATTAATAATATATCATCCAGCCCTAAAGAATTAAAGTTAAAGGGGTGGTTCATTGCGATTTCACTTTTTTAACGTTAGTTAGTGTGTAATGTTGCTGTTTGAGCATAAACAATATCTGCAAAGTTACGAAGCTGAAAGATCAATGCAAACGGAGATATCGTCTTTTAAAATTCTGGCAGTTTAATGTCTACAAAAACAGCTGGTAGGGACTACAACGAGTTACTTCCCGGGTTCATCTCTGTCTGATCATCTCCATCTCTCGTTCCTCTTCATCGTCTTCTCCCTCCTCTCCTCCTGACACCACGATCAGGTCGTCGTCTCTCGAGTGCTCCGTCTTCACCACCACCCACTGTTTTCTGGGCATGATGCTCGGCTGACTGTACGACGGCCGCTTCTGGGGTGGAGAAGAGTCTCCATCTTGATATGAAGAAACTCCAAAACTGTCGCTCACTCCAACCTCTTGATCGGAGATGGAGGTTGCGACCTTTCGCTTGCCTCCCCGATCTCTTTTCCTGGGATACAAGAGCTCGTCGTCGTCTTCTTCGATCATGAAGCCTTCCTCTCCGCCGGAGGGCATGCAGTAGGTTGGGGTGGAGTGAACAGCACTCTCTCCCACTGCTCCGGTGGTCACCATCGTCCCGCCGAAGTGTGCGTCTCTAGGACTGAAGTAATTGGTGCTGCTTGGAGACTGGCTCTCACTGAAGGACGGTCGGCTGGGAGGTTGAGGAGTCGAAGGTGCGTCTCCTCCGTCCGCTTGGGCGATCTTGTTGGCGCCGCCGCTCTGCCCCGCGCTCTCCTTGTCTCCAGATCCCTGAGGTCCACTGGAACCTCCCCTGCCCTCTTTGAGAAGCTCAGTGCATTTGTCCACAATGTGCCACATTTGAAGCACACTGCCAACGGTGAGGTAGTTAACGATGTCTTCGCGAAGCATTCGCAGTTGGCCGGTGTACGCACAACTGAGGACGCTCTCAAAGGCCAGGGGGTCTATGACGGCCGGGATGGAGACGGTGGACATGTTCTTCAGCAGCACCTGGAACGCAGAAACAAAGACTGTGATGTGGCTAATAAACACTGCACAGATGAATCTGATAGAAACTGTTATGCATTTTTTTTTTATTACTTAATACAGACTGTGAAAAAAAAATTGTCTGTGAAATGCTACAGAACCTGGCACCTGGAAGCTGTCAACATATTGTCTAACAAGATTTTGCACTTATCTAATATAACTATATTGCAGTTCCTGTGTGTTGTAATATTTATATAGCTTTAAATACATTTACAAAATTTAAATACTCAAGAGCACTCACAGTGACACAAAATATAGATTTATATTAGATTGATTGATAGATATTAAAATTAAATAAACATTTACTGAAATAAAATAAAATATTAAAAAACATTTTTTTCAGCTAGTTTCTGAAAGTTTTGTATAGCTTAAGTAGAATAACTAAAACTGAAAAAGAATTACTAAAAACGATTACTAAATTATTAAATAACTATTACTGATTACTAAAACTTTAAAACGAAATAAACAATTATTCAAAACATTAATAAAAATATGGAATAAAATATCAGTTATACTAAAACATATTTTTTCATATAATATTTTATTATTATACATTTTATTACACAAATTTATGGTTTTATTTCTTTCATATATAGTCTATGCAACACCTTCTTGTGTTCAAAGATAATTTGAATTATCTTGATTTTTAGGCTTTTCTCAGTAAATACTTACATATGCAATTAGTTTTATTAAATTATCAGAATATCATGTAATTAATTTGACTTAAATACTAGCACAGATGAATCTGATAGAAACTGTTATGCATTTTTTTTTTATTACTTAATACAGACTGTGAAAAAAAAATTGTCTGTGAAATGCTACAGAACCTGGCACCTGGAAGCTGTCAACATATTGTCTAACAAGATTTTGCACTTATCTAATATAACTATATTGCAGTTCCTGTGTGTTGTAATATTTATATAGCTTTAAATACATTTCACAGAATTTAAATACTCAGAGCACTCACAGTGACACACACAAAATATTTATATTAGATTGATTGATAGATATTAAAATTAAATAAACATTTACTGAAATAAAATAAAATATTAAAAAACATTTTTCAGCTAGTTTCTGAACATTTTGTATAGCTTAAGTAAAATAACTAAAACTGAAAAAGATTTACTAAAAACAATACCTAAATTATTCAATAACTATTACTGATTACTAAAACTTTAAAACGAAATAAACAATTATTCAAAACATTAATAAAAATATGGAATAAAATATCAGTTATACTAAAACATATTTTTTCATATAATATTTTATTATTATACATTTTATTACACAAATTTATGGTTTTATTTCTTTCATATATAGTCTATGCAACACCTTCTTGTGTTCAAAGATAATTTGAATTATCTTGATTTTTAGGCTTTTCTCAGTAAATACTTACATATGCAATTAGTTTTATTAAATTATCAGAATATCATGTAATTAATTTGACTTAAATACTAGATTATTATATATTTCGTTACACATATTTATTGTTTTATTTATTTCTTCCATATATAGTCCATGCAACACACCTTCTTGTGTTCAAAGATAATTTGAATTATCTTGATTTTTAGGCTTTTCTCAGTAAATATACACATATGCAATTTATTTTATTAATTAGTGATCTTCAATACATGTTTCAAGAGATCTTTTAGTGGTGCCCAACCCTGTTCCTGGAGATCTACCTTCATGCAGAGTTCAGTTCCAACCCTGCTTCAGCACACCTGCCCGTAATTATCAAGTGCTCCTGAAGATCTTAATTAGCTGGTTAAGCCGTGTTTGATCAGGGTTGGAGCTGAACTCTGTAGGAAGGTAGATCTCCAGGAAGAGGGTTGGGCACCACTGCTTTACACCATCTAGGCCTCAAGGTAAATATGTAATGTACCTGGTCGTGGAAGTAAGGTGACGATGCAGCCAGCACACACCGATGGGCCTTGAACACCTGGCCCTGAACGTGGATGGAGAGGTCGCAGAGATGGCCTTCTTCACGCTGCCGATTCAGGCTGTCCAGCACTGAGGCCTGCACACTGGGGAAGCACACCTGCACCGCTGAACCCGCGGAGTCACCATAGCCTTGGTCCGCCGTGGCCGACTGCATTCCTGCAAGGGAAACTTAATGTTTGTCCCAATTTGCATGCTTATGCACTATTCTTATGCACTATTATGCACCATTTTAGCATAAATAATGTGATTGGTGTGTTCCCACTGAAAATTCCAAAAAGAAAACATTCACTTCAAATGCCTGGATGATGCACTTAACTGTAATTAACTGTAAAAACTAAGTGTGAAATGTTGGACACTTTATGCAATTAAATGTTGCAGCTTTAATTACACACTGAAAGAAAAGGAGCTATCAGACTCTGATGCTGGATGACAAAATAACCTTATATAATTCTTACACTAGACAGTTGAGTACATAGCACACAGAATATATACATACGCTGCATCCAAAATCAAATGCTTCCCTACAATGCAAAAAATAGTACGCAAAAAGAGTAGCATTTCCAAATTCATAGTATTCGAAAAACAGTAGGCGAAAACTACCCGAATAACCTACTACTTGTGTGCATTCGAAGGACACTTTACAATCCCATGAGGCCACAGGAGAGGATTACGAATGACAGTGAAGCGATGCAACTAACACTGCGAGGTCACATGATAGTAACAAGATGATACACACTACCCATATTCATAATAAATAAAACATTTTTTTAACAGTCGTGAAGCAAGTTCAAATTCAAATGTAGTAGGCCTACTCCGACCAAGTACACAGATAGTGTACCAATAGTGTATAGTGCGTTATTTGGGACACAACTTCACATTACACAGGCTACTTACAGCAACAGAATATGGTTGTCAATCCTGTATTAAATGGCTGAATATGCTTACATTCACACACAGTTCGGTTACAAACCAGGCTACTTACACACAGCAACAGAATATGGTTGTCAGTCCTGTATTAAATGGCTGAATATGCTTACATTCACACACAGTTCGGTTACAAACCAGAGTGACAACAGAATTAAATAATCAAACTGAGTCCACACCTAATTTTGAGAGTGAGAGCTCATTTGCATAAAATGAAATTTACTTTGAAAATGAATGACTTTGTCACTTTCACATGAAAAAAAAAATGCTATTTATATAATAAAGATATGTTATACATTTAATAAATGTTACATAAACATATTTTAGATATATAACATAAGTACGTAAACAAACAGCTGCTAAAAATAGGTGTTTTGATTTTCCTCATAACATAATACAACATTAATTTCGATCAAATATTCTTTAATTTCTCTTTGAACCCAGCAAATGCTATTGCAGGTCCAAAGAACAAGGGGCATTGACCAGACACTGCATGAACACTTTATTTATTCACTTTCGGTTGTCTATTAATGACATATATCATGAATATAGTTTCCTCAGACCCTGTTATAATGACCGCAGTAAAGATAGTTTGTGGTTTGATATTCAGATTTCTTTTGGCTATAAATACGCAGCGCGCTGTCATAGACATGCAAACAACACCGAATATCATTCTCCATGATTTGTGAATTCAGGTGACGCTGTCCTTCGGGCCGAAATCAGGGTTTTTTTCGTAGCGACTCTTAATTTTATAAAGCCTATAGCTCCAAAAGTTGGCCACTTAGAGGAATGAAACCGGTGTCATGATTTTAAATTCAACGAATATTCGAAATTAAATTTTTTATTTGACAGCCCTAATTAAGACTACTCTTAATTGGACCTCCATTCCCCTTTATGAAGTGCAGTTTATCTATTAAATCAAGGAATTCTGTGATTCTTACACTTGCACTTGGTGTCTCGATCAGAGTTCTGCCCCTCTATGTCTAGCTGGAACACAGAGTGAGAACGTGAAGAGTGATCGTTCATGCCTGTGCGGGCTGTGGACCGGTTCTGGTTTGCCAGCATGATCAAGTTGTGCACCTGAGAAATTAGGAAAGAAACAGACACATTAATAAACTGCACACTCATGTATGAACAAATCAAATACAACACAGATTAGAGATGCACCAATTGCAATTTTCTTGGCCGATTCCGATTTCCGATTTTTTGGAAGTGTGACTTGCCGATACAGATTTTTGCCAATTCCGATTTTATTTCTATGAACTATAATTGACAGCATATACAAACAAAAATCTATGCAAATTTCAAAGCAAAAATTATTTACATAAGAAATTGGAGTTGTTACCATTCAAATGAAATTAGTATTAACAAACTCTCTTTTCAATGCTGAGGAAAGCTGCATCTGAAGTGGCATTAGATGCATTTACAGGGTATATACAGGAATCATGTTAAATTTAATACTTTTTAAGACCTTTTTTAAGACTCTTTCCATACATTTTAAGACCTTGTCACCACTCCAAGTTTTAACCGATTACATCAGCAACACTTTAACTTACATTTACTATATATTGATTATAAGAGAGCACAACTAAACAGACTTACTTTGTGATAACTCCTTATCAATACAACATAATTCAGAAGGGGGAACGAAGCACAAGAGAATTAATTGAGTGACTAACCAATGCAACCCAAGAAACAAGAATTAAACCAATAAACAAAACAACTGACAAAACTTATTGAGGAGGGAAAATAAAGCTCTC